ATCATTTTATATTCTGTACAAAAATGCTAAGATATCAAATAGCAAGTTGAAAAGTCCAACCCGCTCCTATCAGAATCTATTAGCAATAAATCCCAGATCTCTGACATCTGTAACACAAAAAACATTCATATAAAATACTCGATATAGGCTTTCTACAGACGACCGACCGACCCTTATAAAATACAGCGACAAAGTCAATGTCAAACCTAACATTATGCTAATAAAAAGGAAAAAAAAAAATGTCTATGTAGGGTAATTTGAAAGAAAAAGAACATAAAAACTATTAATTAATGCTAAAAGAATCACATAATATTTTATTCACATGTCAAAATATCAATTTTTGTTTACCACATTTTATGTTTCGACCGCTGTCGATCATTACTAGGAAAGTTTCGTGCGGAAACCAAATAACTACGATCCCTGAGCCGCTTCAAATGTATAAAGCACATTATGAGGTATGTAGCGTGCTTATTGCTTTCGAAAGGTCTATATATACTGGTCAACATACCTTGCGTGATATCGTTTTAATAACATAGAAACGTAACCTCGCATCTGCCCCGTTCACACGATCCGCACCGCAAATCAAGCTGAATAAATCATTATACATTTTTCGAAACATGCGTACGCGGGTCACGTGTGAGTATACCTTTACGATTATTATAAAAAAAAATACTAAGCTGTTTTAGCTGTCACTTATTTAAATCAAAGTTTACAGCGTTACAGTCGAACCTATGGTACCGTGATATTTTTCTCATTCATAGAGTTTTCTGTCTAAGCCCAGTTCCTCATTAATGGAAGTTGTAAATAAGAGAATAATAAACATATAGGTATAACTATTAATATTCTGTCGTAGCAAGTACATGAAATAATTTAATAAAACCGTAACAGAAACAAAGGAAATATATTAATTTATTTCCAAAGTATAAGTGACCGTGCAGTATCCTGCAGTGACTGCTATCCATTACACTGAGAACTTAATGGTACGTCGTTGAACTCACGCTGGGAACTAAATTACCTCAAACTTTAGCGCTATTTACTGCAACTGCAAAAGAATAGCCGCGGCCGAGCTTAGTCTAAAGCTATTATTGCACGCTCCGACTAAATTCAATTACTAAATATTTAGCAGACACGTCCAAATGCTGTTTATTACAATTAAGGTTTTAAAAATGAAATGTTGAAGTTATTAAAAACTTAATAATGCAGGAAATATTATTAAACTAGAAGTAAAAAAACTATAAGATAAGAATTGGTTCGTATTCTAATAAATACTTTCGTATATTAATTTTACACTAGCTCATATATTTTAAACCTTAAAACAAATACATATAGAGTAATACAAATGTTAAGGTACATCGTGAATTAATCTTAACTATTCTCTTAAATAGAAACATCGGTAATTTTAACTCGCAAGTCAGCCCGACTTGTTTTGTTTCACTTAACTATTGGAGAGACGACCCCGATGAAGTGAGATTCAATTAACTTTAAGTTACTTAAGTTAGTTACTTTAGTGATTCGTTAGTGATTATAGAATAAAATATGATTTCGATTCAGTCGTCATTTCATAATATCATTAATTCACTTACAAGGTACTCTGAGCCTATCCGAGTTAGTGTTGACTAGCCCATAGTCAACCAGGCTCGCTAAGTTCACGTTGGTTGTCTTCAGACATATGTCTACATACTATTATTAATACAGGAAAGTTTAGCGTAAAAACAGACATGACAAATTACATCTATAATTCGTCCTATATTGTGTCGTAGCACGTAACATATTAGGTACAACACGCCCTGAAGTCCGACACCGCCCACAGAAACGGTCCGCACTTCCTTCCGGTTGAACTTGCGTTGTTCTGCGTAGGCATGAAATTCACCTACAAAAAAACACACCTACACAACCAAGCTGACGCGTAAAAGTGGAATTATATTACAGACTTGCTTTTACGCGTGACTCCGCCCGCGCTGAATTAGAAAGAATACTTAATAAGTAGCCTATGTGTTTAATTTCACCGAAGCCTTTTAAGCCGTTCTGGATATACTTTCAAACAAACGTCTATATATACAACTAAACATTCGGATTTATAATATTAGTAAGATTGAATTCTCAAATACATGTAAATCTTAATACACACAAAGGAACTCAATTCTGTTGCGGCTTTGACATATTATACGATTTAGTCGACAATGTTCCATAACGATATTGAAGTTCTGAATCACACATGTTTCTACACAAATTGAATCTTGATTCAAAACTACAGAGAAAATTCTACAAGAGTATTGTGCATATAAAATGCGTATGTATATTGAGACATATTTATTTTATAGTAGTTGACGCACGCGACTTCGAATGCGCAGAATTAAAAAAAAAACTTAATTAGCAGCCTATGTCTTCTTCCAAGTTATGTTCTACATCAATGCCTAGTTTCAACGAGATCCATGCAGTGGTTATGGAAGTACCATCAAACAAACATCCATCCATCCATATATCCATCTAAACATTCGCATTTATAATATTAGTAAGATATTAAGAAGTAAGATCTGGAAGAGTTTAGATTCAAAAACACGTGGAGTGTACCAAGTCTCTCCTACTAAGCAGTTATTCCATGGAGATAAAGGTTTTATTACAAAATAGTCTGACGTGTCCGATCTTGTTGAAAACAACGATTGCATTGCTTCAATTGAAAAACATCAAGTACTGATGTTTTCGTGGTTCTGTTATGTCATATAAACACTTCAAGGAGCGAAACACGACCCTTGGTAAAGCGACCACGGGCCGCGATTTCCGCCCCTAATGGACCATTGTGTTGGGACACGAGTGACGTCATCTGAACCCAACAATATTGTTATAGAGGGTAAGAACAATCATGATATCTTAAGGTCAATTTATGAAATACAAAAGATATATGACATATACTTTTTATGTTCGAGCAAATGACGCGGTCTATCGTTGAAACTGAAAACTGAAACTTGTCTCTTGTATATCCCTAAAAATGATACTAGGAAAAGGTCCGTTTTGAAGTCGGTTAAAAACATACTTAATGACTATATAAGTAATCTTTTTAGTCAATACTAATTAGAATCCTTTGACGCGAATGGCGCGCTTACATTGCAAAGTGAAGTGTTAGAATTATTAGTGAGGGGACATAAACGTCGACATTTTAGTAAGCCTAGTGTTGCGCAGTACACCAGCACAGTGTCGGATTTTCTTCCTAACAGTATGTTTTAACATATGTTCCGTGTAATATTTTAGAATTGACAAATATTAGTTCCCACACGTGTAAGACGAAAATACGTACAGCTGTTATAATATTGATATTATTAACCAAACATTTATACTGAGAGCTCTTATAAGCCAAACTGAACTTCGCTAAAATAATATCAAATTAATTCTATTGAAGAACATAGAACTTAATTTAAATGTCTCGAATTAATTCCATATTAAGTTAGTTTTAATTTATAATTATAAATAATATGTGGCCTATAAATCAAACCTTATTATGAATTCACAATTTGTTTTATTATTACTAAGACTATTTAGGCAGTGAAAGTCTACGGTTACACAAATGTATCCTCATACTAGCTGTCACCCGCGACTATGTCCGCCTGGAATTAAAAACATAAGTAGCCTATGTGTTCTTCCAGACTATGTTCTATATGTATGCCAAATTTTATCATGATCCTTTGAGCCGTTTTGGAGATACCTTCAAACAAACATCCATCATTTTAAATATTTTTTATAGCAATGTCCAAATGATAATGTCATAATGAATACAATTATTTACTAACTTTATTCATCCTACATTTAACCAAAATAAACTACACATCTGCCAAATATAGATCAGATAAAGGTTTAAATTGAACCGAAAATTGTATAAGAGATAGATATACACTTCCTAAGATGTTCGTAAACGTATCCGCGACTTGCGATCCTGGTGGGAATAACCGAATCGAATTGCAAATTTCATTCCGGAACATTCCCCGTCACATTATCAACCGCGCGGCCCCGCCGGAACAAATGCGACGCGCAAACAACCGCCAAAGTATACCACTCTATTTCAAACGTTTATTTACAATAAATGTTCCATGTTATTTGGAATATTGGAACATATTGTGTTCTTAAAAACCGAATTGGATTTGCCAGACGTATACATTCACGTAGAGCGTCGTTGGCTCAGGAGACAAGCACTTAACTTGAAATCTGCAGGTCCTGGGTTCAAATTCCGCCATGTACTAATGTGTTTTTCGATTTCCGATTTACATATGTACATTAAATTGTCATCTCTCTTATTTCCCTTGGAAAGAAAAGAGACAAGATTATGATGAATTATACACTCTCAGAGTTTTATTCAGAACTTTAAATGAAATGATTTTAGAGAATATCAAATTATAGCAACATTGTGGAGATCTTCGCCTGAATTTCCTAACAGATCAAATTCAGTCCAAACTATTGAAACAGCAGCTCATAAAATCAAATAGCTATAAAAACTACCCGCATCACATAGAAATGTCATAAAACACACCGCTCTTATTCCAATCTGTCATAAAATATCGACGAATCACCAAAGTTGCCTGCGGTGACGCGCACCGTTTACATATTATAATCTACGCTTACGCTGAGACGGAAACTGATTGAAGTTGAGATGTAGTTTGATAACAAAACAAAGATTCTATAAATTTTATTTGCAATAAAAGTATTATTGTTCTGATCACCACGTTCAAACAATTGACATAGGTCTTTTGAACACCATTCCTGTCTCACTCTATGGGTGTCACCTTTAATACATATCTTTCTAAGTCTAGATTCTAGATTATTATTAAATTCATCATCACCATACGTCTACATCGAGAATTTTTGAGGCTATCCCTAAGTTAAGGGTGACTAAGGCGAAAAATACACAATGGTACATGAAGGGATTCGAATTCAGGACCTGCATATCACAAGTTAAGCTCTAATCCAATGCTTATCACATTTAATATAAAGTTGTCTATAATAAATTGACTCACCTGTCCATGGTTAACATAGCCATGTCGTTTCGCTATATCATGCACGTGCCTCTCCCCGTTGGGCACGTGCACTGCGAACTGGTTGTGGTAGGTAGCGTCGTGCGCGCCGAGCACACCGAGCACACGGAGTACGAGCACGAGCTGCGCCAGCGAGCGCCATGCCGCCCACATCTCACTTGCTGCACACCTCACAACCGCATCAGTTGACACCTCGTATACTTCAAATGCGCACTGACATCATGCGTTCCGATAACTTGTTAAAACTTGTATCATTGAGGTAACTGAAACAATATACATTTATATTTTATTTTATGGTATACTGGGTCCTAAATAAATACTAAAATATATTACCAATTTTAAAATTTGCCTACTAACTTTTGCCGCGGACTGCCGCGCAAATTTAGAAAAAGTTTAATTTGTAGCCTATGTGTTCTTGCAGACCATGTTCTACAATGTGTGGAAGTTAGAAGGTGTTAGTAGTTACCTCCTAAGATGATTCATACATCCAAACATTCGTATTAACAATATTAGTAAGATGGGCATCAAAACTAATTAGTTATAAAATCCTTCTTAAATTCTCGCTTTTTCAATGCGTATTTGAACATATTGTATTGTAATTGACAATAGCTTTGTAAAGTGGACTACCACAGATTAAACGCGCTTTTAATAAAAAGCGGGTATATTTGAAAAAGATAAAAATCAATTTTTACTCAAAGCCTTGTGAATAAAACCTCACCAGATTCAAATATCACTAAATAGAAACGAATGGTTGAATGAAAACAAAAAAAAAGATAGCCAACTATTCCTCTATTTGTTGAACATATGTATGGAAACGGAATTTGAACTATTGTTTGTTTCGAACAAATGTTTTTGTTAGAGATAATATTTGAAGCAGGCTTTTCAAATAAAATATATCTGGCAGCATAAAGAAAGTATGCCATCATACTGCCATGTACATATTTTTTTAATATTACCATATAAAGGTAATAAAAAAAAACTTTACACCGATTGACCAGGACGGTGAAGTCGCACGTCATGGGGCCTGCAGTCTACAACCGGCTGCCGGACCACGTCACAGCGGCACCCAGCCTCACATCATTCAAAAATAGATTGGAATCAGTGCTTGTCAGGAGGGCTCTGTATTCGTATGAATTTTTTCAGTGATTTTTTTTTGTAAATCATTGTATTGCATAGTTATTAGCTATGAGGTATAAATATTATTTTAATTTTAAAATGAAGACTCTATATTTTGTAGATTAACAATTTGCGTAAACGTGTCAATATATTTAACTAGTGTCCATTCATATAGTTTTTTTTTTAATACCACGAAGACGGAGTCGTGTGCCACATCGAATGCTTATACCTTATAAATTAAGTCAATAAAGCAATCGCATAATTTTTTCATTCTGCAATACATTTTGGTTACACTAAAAATAAAATCGACAACATCTTTAATTTTCATGTACCCATATGCACTAATTCTGCAGTACTTTAGGTTCTATGCGTTATTCATATTTCATTACAAAGATGACATTCTAAGAAACATGAAAATACACTGAATGGGCCGCATATGCGGGGACTTGTAAATTTCATTTGCAGACGAAATGCTTTATTCGAGGCATTGTAACAATATTTCGCGTTTGCGATGCGACGTGACACCTCACTGTAAAGAGGAGTTGAGTACAGCTCAGATATTTCATGTAGCAAATAATCTAACTAATATAAATGCGAATGTTTGGATGAATGGATGTTTGTTAGAAGATATCTGCAGAACAGCTTAACGGGGATCTCGATGAAATTCATAATGGGTAATCATAACAAAGTCTTAATTACATAAAGCAATTTTACAGACAGAAATAATTATTATTTATATTTAATACTAGCTGTCGCCCGCGACTCCGTCCGCGTGTTTGTCTAAAAAATAAAAATAAAATTTAGGGGTGAACTACCCTTAATATTTAGGGGGATGAAAAATAGATGTTGGCCGATTGTCAGACCTACTCAATATGCTCACAAAATTTCATGAGAATCGGTCAAACAGTTTCGGAGGAGTATGGAAACGAAAATTGTGACACGAGAATTTTATATATAAGATAGAGCTAACTAGATATTCTAACGTACCAAGAATTATCTTCTCTGAAAACATTTAGACATATTAATTTTTAAAACAATTTGATAGGCAATAACTAAATCATTTCTCGTATTAAGTATCGCCTATGGCCTTCGCAGAGATTGCCGGGTGATAAAAACGGCGAAATATTTATTACACAGTAACCCCAGCGACCACATATTTATTCCGGGACATTAGAATTTTTGCCTCCGGTCACAAAATTCAATTGAAAATTCATAGGAGCTAAAAAGGTTTTATTAGCCATCCCTTTCAAATAAGCTTAGCTTATATTTTATACATCCATCAAAAGTTATGTTACCGTATATAAACTGTTTATAAAATATTGCCAGTATTTTTTATCATCCTGTATTTATTTAGTTCTTGTAGAAGAAACTTATATAAAACGGCTAAACACTCACGTACGAGTATATTCGTCTGGTGGCGGCACCGACTAGTTTCGAACCCATCGGGGGCCCTTCATCAGGGTGAGTGGGACTGGTATTATTTCGCGGACGCGGCCCTTCGCTCACTGAAGGCTATATTATGTTACGTCAACTACACACTAAAATACGAAATAATCACAAAAGTTCAAATTAAATTCTATTCAATTCAATCGTTAAACTTTTTTCTTATATTTTATTATAAATTATAATGTTATTTTATTCACAACACAAATTTTGGAGACAAACAGCTTGTATATAAAAGAGATTCTTACTCTTAAGTACATTTAAAAGCTTTTGATTATTTTATATTATAATTCATTTAAGATATCGTAGTCTTAAGAATGTCTCACTCCACCTCTACGTCTTTTAGATAAATACCTTGAATCATTTTCATTCCGCAAAATGCATTGCAATACTTCGCAAAGAAAGCTTAAGGAATTATACATGAAAGCGAAAATGAAACTTATACCCTAGTGTTAAGTTTTAAATTTCCATGAAAGGAGCACTTGAAAGGAGTGGAAGCTCTTTTATAATAACTCGCGATACAAAATTAAATTGCCAGCGAAATGCAAGTAAAAATACAGTTATCGCTGATTCAAGGCAGCTCGGGTTGAGAATAACTCGAATTACCGTCTGCACTTCTTACAGTTTGAGGTGCGAAATACTAATGAGGGCCGCCCCTGATGGCAACACCATTCTATAATAATCCTTATCTTGATGGGATAAAGGTTAAAAATACCTTAACATGTACGTATTAGATTTCTAGTATAAGGCACCACATTATCATACACCGAGAGGCGTGCACTAGCACTTTTAACACGTAATTCTACATTCAATTTTAAATTGCTACATAAACTTTAAAAAAAGAAAGATATAATATTAAAAAATAATAAAAAAACACACGTTCGATATTGAAAGAAACGTTAATACGTCATTCAATTCTACTAAAAACTATTTTTACTATTGTCGAATTACTTTCTAGTATTATTTTTCAAGGTATAAATTTTCGTTTGTCAAATCGTCAAGGTCAACAAGGACGAAAAACTAATATAATTCTAATTTTACACAAAGGCAGTAAAACATTCACAAAAGAAGAAAAAGATTTTTCTCCGAAACAAAAGCACAATAAAAAATGTGTCAGGACATTTTGTTTCTATTTAAAATTCCGAGAAACATTAACAGTATTTTTATGTGAAAAACTAAAATCTAATTATTATTTACTTAAGAACATACTACAGTGGAAATATAAGTACACAATTCTTAATAACTAAACAGGCACATTTTTTCGACGTTAAAATTTCTCCTCGCAATAAATTTCATTTGAAAATTCATGACATCAAAAGGGTTTTATTTTCGAACCCTTTTAAAAAAGGTCTAATTTACCCATACACTAAGCGCTCCAGAAATTAAGTAATTTTGTAAATATTCTTTTCATTGGACGACAGAAACAGCTATTTCTAAGTGTATTATATTTCAATTTTTTTCATACTTTTTCAAAACACTTTCTCATTAGATTTAAATAAAATAAAAAATATCTAACCTCTTTTAGGTTCGGCAAGTCTGAGGAGCGTCGGTGGCTCAGTGGTCAAGCACTTGACTTGCAATCTGCAGGTCCTGGGTTCGAATCCCGCCATGTACCAATGTGTTTTTCGATTTCCGATTTACATATGTACATTTATCCGACGTTCTTACGGTGAAGGAAAACATCGTGATGCAACCTGCATATATCTGAGAAGAAATTCAAAGATATGTGTGAAGTCAACCAACCCGCACTTGGCCAGCGTGGTTGACTATGGCCTAATCACCCTTAACTTAGGATAGGCTCCGAGCCCCTCGGTGGGGACGTATAGTGAGCTTGATGATGATGAAGTCTGAGATATGTTTAATATTGATCATAGGTATAGTTCAGATTTTTAAACTCACTAAGCTTTACTATAACTACGAAACTTACAACAAATTAATTAGGCAAACGCGCATATTCATTTTTTCAGTCAATCACAAAATACCACAAATTAATGAAACTAATCTGACCAAAATCGTATGTTTGTAGGAAATACAAAACGAACAATATAATAGTTGATCGTTGCAAATGTATGTAATGGCAACGAAACAAATAAAAGTCGGTATTTTACAAGCCGTAAACACATTTGCAGATGGCTCAGAAAAAAAACTACTATATTAAATGTAACAAGTTATAAAAATTGTTGCTAAATCTCGCGATAATCCCGATAAACCGCACGGGCGGTATACGAGACCTGACCGCGAATACATAACATAAATTTATGAGATAGTCTTTTCATATTTATCAAAGAAAATGGAATATTTCTATGAAATTTCCTTATCTAAAACAATAACGTGGTTACAAATATGTTCAATAAAATTTAAAATGTTTATCACAAGAAGCATTTTTCGTAAGCCAATTCTTTTTACATTCTTACATTTTTACAACCCTTAAAGTATACAAAGGAAATTCCTAAAGACTTTATCCGTAACAAATATTTGTTTAAAAATATCTGAATTATTTTATGCCCAAGACTTTATGTACTTAAAACATACTTCGAACGGTATTTCATCGTTTTAGTTTCAAAATATTTTCCATTCTACTCGGCTCCTTAAAGTCGCAGCATGTTGTTTAGTAGTCTTAAACCTTCATAAACAATTGTACTGTAAAATATAAAAATAAATTTTCAAATCTTTTGCTTAATTCCTATGATTAGCGGTTACAAAC